ATATGTTGAGGGGTTTACAATGGGCCTAAAATGGGCCTATTTATGGAATACTAAAGCTGTTTAATGCAGCAGACGACAACTGTCATGGAAAAACGTGCAGTAATAAATATCGTCTGCGAAAAGTAACCGTCACATTCGAAGAGACGCGGCGTTAAACTAAACGGCGAATTTGAAAGGGCACAGTCGTGATGGTTTAAGGAAGTTAATTGTGGCCGTCAAAGTAAGTTTTACCGTCATATATATACGCGGAGTTAGAAAAATCCAACCCATTTTGCTGTTAACGTCTGGAAAAGTCACCGGCTTGCTTGCACTCAAGATTGTTCGTCTGTTTTCAGTAGAAACCAGGTAATTTGCGAGGATTTGAGTGTCTTTTTTCTACCTTTCTTTGTTGTGAGAATGTCTTCTGAAGAGACACTTAGTGACGGCAGAGTGAGGGGGAGGGTTGAGGAGGTAGAGAGTAGGGATTTGGGGGTGCCGTCAAACATTATGGAGAGAGAGGATGGGAGAGAGCCGTGTTTCAACCTTGAGGAGGAAGTTGTTAGTGAGGTGGCAGGGTATGAAACAACTTTGGAGAATAGGGGTAGTTTGGCCCACTTGGTTGAGAACTATGGGGTGCCCGGGCGTGTGTTGGTGAGGCCGGCGGGGAGTAGAGAGAGGGCGTGTTCGGCCCCCGGGGACCACTGGATGCCTCTCTACTCCCATTACCTGGCGGCTGGGTTGCGGTTTCCTCTCCCAGACCTATTGGTGTGGTTGTTGTTAGAGTATGGTCTGGGATTGACGCAACTCACCCCAAACGCTGTGAGGTTGGTAGTGGCGTTTGCAGTATATAGCCGAAGTCGGGGGGTGAGTTTTCCTACTGCTAACGTATTCAAGTACTTTTACGTCTTGAACGCTGGTAGTGGTAGGGAGAAGGGGTGGTACTATTTTACGAGCCGAGTAACGAATAAGCAGAGGAGGGGTTTGTTTAGCGCCGGTCCGTCTTCCATTAAGGGGTGGAAAGATAAGTTCTTTTTTGCGGATGACAGAGAGTGGGATAAGACTGATGCTGAGGTAGAGCACTTAAGTCGCTGGAAGGCGAAAGGGTTAAACCTCAACGGGTATAGTCTGACCCCGGGGGAGATAGAGGATGTGGAGGAGTTAGAAAGGGGGGTGGGTTTGCTAGACGTTATGGAATATACGAGCTAGAGGATGTTAGACGCGACTGAAATATATGGGCCGAGCTCAGAGAGAGGAGGTGTGTAACCTTAATTGCTGATTTAGTTCGAGAATCCTGATCAGAGTTTAACCTTGTTTTGTTTTGCAGAAGAAATGAACAAGTTTTTGGACGCAGCTGGTGGGGCTGGAATTCCAAAGAAGGGAAGAGGGAAGAGAGGCGAGGTCAGGAGGCAGGGGGAGGAGACTTCAATGCCTCAAGCCGAAGTGGGAAACTTGGCCATTTTTCAGCCTGGCCACATTGGAGGTGAAGTGACAGTGGTTGAGGAAGGGCCCATTGTTGCGAAGAGGAAGAGGTTGGAGCAACAAGATGCCGCGGAGGAGGTACCGGAGCCTAAGCCTGTGACTGCACCCCTCCGTCTGGAAGGGACCTCGTCAGCTTCGGCTGCTGAGTTCGCTGCTGCGCTCCGAGAGCAAGGATACATCCGAGTGCCCACGACGAGCTTCTATGACTCCGGGATGAGGAGCTCAGCCAAGAGGTTTATCAATGCTTATTTCCCGGAGGTGGACCGCCAGCGCGCGAAGGACGAGGTGGCCGCCAGAGGTTCAGTTGGCGTTGTTCATCAGGCGTTGGAGGTATGGTACTTTGACTTCGCCTAAGGTTTGGGGATTACCATTGTGAATTTGTTTGACGATATGAAATTGTGCTATTATGCAGGCTATTAACCTCGTGAATGCTTTGGCCAATGAGCATCACAAGAGCTTGAAAGAGAGGAGTCAGATGAGGAAGGAGAACGCCGAGCTCGTTAAGAAGAGCGAGGATGCCAAAGCCGAGGTGGCGAGGTTGAAGGCGAAGATGGAGGAGCTCCAGAGGGAAAACGCCACCCTCAAAAAGGACTCGGAGATCTCGTACCAAAAAAGGAAGATATGCGAGGCCGAGTTGGAGAAGAGGGAGAAGGAGGTGGAGGAGGCGGGGAAGGTGGTGGCTGAGTTAGAACTCAAGGTTCACAACTCGGTTGAGGAGCATGTGGAGGGGTTCCTGAGGTCCAGCACCTTCGAGGACATCGTCAACCTCTACCGTCTTCCCACTGCCATCGTGGCCTTCTCTGACTACCGGAAGAAGGTGAAGCTGCAATATCCTGCTGTGGATGTGACAAAGATCACCTTCGGAGAGCAGGAAGGGGAGGTGGAGGAGGACGGAGAAAGTAGTACTATTGACTTCCGCCTAGAGATAACGCTGAAGTGGAAGAAGGATA